ACAGCAAAGATGTTACCCTATAAGCCTCAAAGACCAACCACCCTGAGAAAACATTAGCAACCTTTCAAACTGATCCTACATGTATCCCCAAGTGAAATGGGGTCTGGTCTCTCACGATCCCCCTGTTTGTGAATTTTGAGTTGGCCTTTAAGTTGAAGTCAAATGCATAAAGAAAGAGGCAATAATTGGATGTTAAGGTTAAAGCCAGAGAGTAGGTGCATAGTCACTGACATGAATACATGCATTAAACACAAATACTCCTATGTCACTCTGAACAGAGCAGGAGCCATAACCACTTTTGACTTCCTAGACTGCCTATGCATATCGCACATGGCCTTGCATAAAATGTCTCAGCAGGAGCAGAACTGCCTGCATATGACACCCATTATCTCAGACAGACATACATGGGTTGGAGTCTGAGAAATGAATTCAGTGACTGAGGTTCATCACCTATGAGTCAGTAGGGGCCAGCAGCAAGCTCAGAAATGCCTCAAATATGAAGGAGAGGAGCTCCTGTTACTCTGTAATAAATCAAAAGCAGCACTAAATGACCTTGGAGGAAGCCACCAAAGAAAGAGGATCCAGTTACAAACCAGAGAAGAGCATTAGGCAACAAAGCAATATTGCAAAAGTTACCACAGTCTTATTTCATTCTGCACTGCCTACTCCATAAACAAACCCAGAGTCTTCGTCACGGCTCCACTGAAACCAGTTCTACACCATACTAAGGTGAACGTTGTCACTCAAAGGGAGATGCACGAGCTCATACTGTGCGCACTTGGAAATGTACATACTTCATCAGTGGTCTGGATGTAAATACAGTATCCAGCATGAATAAAAACCTCGCACAACAAAGCATGGTAAAATAGTGCCTAATGCAGACAGGTCAATCATATGGATAACTTGGACCAGGCAATTTTTAAAAATTTCTGTCAGTGCACATAGGTGTAAAGCTCAGGAAGAGAGATTTAAGAGCAAGAAATACTCAGCTACAGCGTGGGTCTCAAATCACAGAAAGCAGCAGCTCGGAAAAATATCTGTAAGTAGTAACAAGCAACTCAACACAAGCTCCCAGTTTGACACTGTGGCATCACACCATTGTGCAGACTCCAGTAATGGAACCACAGCAAAGGCCAAGGTGAAACTTACAGATAAAACAAGCTTAAACTTGCTGTGTTTCACAATTAAGTAATTAATGCAGATGTCCAGGCATCGTTTCCTAGAACACCTCATTACAAAACACAGGTGAACTTCTGCAGATAATGCATTCACAAAGCACTTGCAAAACACAGTCTCATCTACTGTGAAGCTGCTCCCCTGCCCAGCTGCCCATTCGCAGCTCTACTTTTCAGCTTCCCAGATTTACTAACAGCAACAAAGTTCTCTGCAGAGCCAGGAAAGCATCATAACAGCAGGGGACAGGCACTGTAACCAGCTGTCGCGTGGTGGAACGCAGAAGGAATATCATCCCCACTGCACATTTGAAACATGGATGTACGTCTGTTGTGACCGTATTAAGCCTGACAGTGACAAAGCAATGCCTTGCTAGTATAACTGTTGCATTAGAGTTTAGGTTCACCCCCTTGCAATGGAGACTTTTTTGACACTGGCAATGGAAAAGAAAGTACCATGAAGGTGCAGAATCTGTCAGTGAGACTTGTTAACATCACAGTAATTATAAAGAAGCCTATTTTAATTTCACTTGTCATCAAACAGAATGAAAAGTTTGTGGTGGACAGGTTTGTCAGGGTTAGTAACCGTAACAAGCTTCTTATAAAGACTTTTTTCCCAGTGGCACTGTGTAAATATATTTTTGATTTAAAGCTGAAAGTTGCATGTTGAATTTAATTACTTACTCAATAGAGATACTGTACTTTTTTTTTTTTTTTTTAAGAGAAAAGGATTTGAATTCTCATTCATAATTTTTTCAGCAACTTTCGTGCTCCTCCAAGTTATCAAACCTAGTTAAGTCAAGCTTTGTAGCTCTACGTGTGTGCTCTTTACAGCAAACTCAGGATGATGTTTACATCAGCACCGTTGGATGAAAGTGTCTGATGCAACCACGCGGCATGAATCAGTCACAGTGGAATTCTCACTGCAATTTCTTGTCTGTAGGATGCTATAACAGCTCTTAGTAGATCTAAGCTGACTTAATAAAACTGTGATGGGCAGCAACCCAACAACCAGTTGAAAAAATAAAGCACTTCCATTGGCTACAGGTTTACTTTCACTTCCTGCCTCCTATGAAGCAATTTCAGGGGCATCAACAAAGAATGCAGTGCAACTCTTTCTGACATCTTCCTTACTAAGTGACTGATGCTGAAAAATATAGCATTACAGCTGCAAGCAAAGAACACCTTATAGTATAAGCTGAACTGATCATCCTATACTTTCACATATAGCATCCATCAGCAGCTTTGTAATTGTTTTATAGGTACAACTTCTGTAGAAATAAGTAAACAGAAAGAGCAAATTTGTTTCTCCTGCCCTCCCCGAGACACAGTCAACTGTAGCGAAGATCACTTCAGCTGTTTGACTCACGCAGTAACTTCATACCACAGCTAAATCTGCAGTATAAACAGGTATATCTGAGTACAGCAATAGCTCCATTTTTCCAAGCCTAGCAAAAAATTTCTGAAAATTAATACTTTAGTAGCTGCAAAGTTTTAAAGTTTCCTCACATTTATCTGATAGCAGAATCAAGAGAGATTTCTGAATGCCAAGAAGCACCATCTGCAGATGGGCATTAAATTCCAGTTTGTCTTGTGCTGGATCTCTTTACGAGATCCTTGCACACTAAACTTCAAGTGAACTTCCTCTGCAAATACAAGCCAGAAGAGAACATGGGTCAAAACCAAAAGAGAAGAAAAATAGCACCATCGACCTGTAACTGATATATCTACACGCTGCAGCTCTTGCCTGGCACGCAGTCTAGCAGGGCTAAAATGTGACATGCTCATAAAGCATTAAGAGCCAGGACATAAGAATTGCTTGTGAATGGAAACAAAGAATCGTCCTGCAGTCCAATCTGAAAAAAAAATGAAAATTTTAAAGCAAGATATCTAGCTTTACCCCATGCGTACTTTTTAAAAATGGTATTTCATAGGAATAGTTACAGTATTTTCAAAACAGTGTTGAAATCAGAAACTGGAAACTCAAGGTATCACTCCTGGAATCTGTCAGAAGAATGGC